AGATTTTGCATATGGAATAACTTCAGAGCCCCCCCCCCCCCCCCTTTTCAAATTAAATAATCATTACAGCAGTAACGTTAGTAAACGACATAGTAATAATACTAATAATAATAAATAATAGTAGGAGTAGCAGTGGCAGTAGTAGTAGCAACAGCAGTAGTTGTAGTAGTAGTAGTAGTAACATTGGTAGTGATAGCAATGATAACAAAAATATAGTTGAATAGATATATTAATTAGGAATATATAACGTTTTAGTCACGATCACACACACCTAATCGCTGCACTGTCGTTCGGCTGCCGGGAGACTGCAATAATGCCATCTCGCTTTCTCCTATTTATTTGGCAACATTCCCTAAAATGTGACAATGAAAGGTTGCACTCAAAGCTGAAGCTCTTTCAGAGAAGACTACACAGCTGTTTAGGTTATATCCATAGTTAATTTATATGCGTGACTTTATATCCTTGTTTCAAACAGGATGACACAGACTTGTCGTATGCGTAATATGCTAACAGATTATCGCACAGGTTATACCTTGTAGCACACACCCACGACGTCTGCTAATATGACAAAAAGCAACATAATCAACTGTATAAGGGATAAAGAAGACGGCGTGGTCACCCTGTACATAACACATGCCATATTCGATAGGGGTGGGACATCTATCGATACATCGCAGGGTTCTCTTCTACATAGAGCGCACTACGGCGCACGCCGTGGGTTGCAAATTTTAACAATACGCTCGTGATGAATGTTCACTGTATCAATACCCGGCCGATTAGTTCAAAATGAGTGTCAATCCAAAATATATAGATCACCCACGTGCTTCTGACTATATACAGTGGAAATCGTAATGAAATTCACAGCAACTTTTTTTTTTTTGCGTGCCGGCACACTCGGTGTCATCTCGATTGCAGCTTTTTTTCCTCCGATTTCCGTTAAAGTTTCTGCTGGTCGCTTCCTCATACAGCGGTGCCCACCCCGTACATAAACAGCAATAAGCACGCCCACGCGAGTGTTAACAATCAGTTGCATTTACGCCCTCCCCGTACTTCACATCAATGCCGCCCCGGCAGGCAGCACGCCCGATGCACGATGGTGCCACTTATGAACAGCAGAATCAGGCCTCGTCTTTAATTATTTACAAGCATGCCTTTAATTAATTAAATGCGTGTATGTAAAGATACATGCATGCTTGTAATCCAACCAATCAAGAGCAAATTCTACAAATAATTAAACGCGCGTATGTAACAGTTACAAGCGTGCCACGTAATTCCAACAATCCAGACTCAGCCGTGTGCGAAACGCGGTGCGCTGCGCGTTTGAATGCGTGCATGCTTGTAACTTTACATAGGCGCAGTTTAATTATTTGTAAGACTTTGTATAATTGGTTGGAATTACAAGCATGCATGTATCTTTACATACACGCATTTAATTAATTACGTGCATGCTTGTAACTTTACATACACGCATTTAATTAATTAAAGGCATGCTTGTAAATATTTAAAGACGAGCCTGATCTGCTGTGGGTGCCACAGACGTGGGTAACAGGGGTGCCGCGTTTAGCTCAGCGCCAAAGGTGCACCGTATGCGGGCGGGAGATTTTGCTGGGTCATTTTGGGAGTATAATGCTGGAGGTTCAGAATATATTCAAACACGACTAGTTTCTGAATAATTGGCT